CTAAATAAATTATGAAGAAATAATTTTGCATTTGCAAATAAAGTTATTTGGAAATAGGCTGAAAAAGTAAGTACAACCCTAAAGAATTCTGTGTATTATGAGGACCTATTGCACAATTCTTGTTCCTTACCAAGTAAACCTAAATGCTTTTCTTGAGTAACTTCTTCAAATATCACTATAAGAAAATATCACAGGGTTGCGTTAAAAATGTGTTAAAAATTATCAATGGAGTGATTTATCTTAAAACCAAATAATGCACAATACCAAACTTTAAAAAAAAAGAATATTTCAACACACTCAAATGTTTCATGTTATTAAAAGCTATTGGTCAACTTTTAATTTGGGGATACTAATTTATTTAGGGAGAACCATCCTGAAAAAGTTTGTTATGTTTAATACCTACACATTTGATCCTGCTTCTGCAACACAGATTTTTAATATTTTAACATTGTGTTCTTTTAATCTTTTAATTTTTACTTGTTTTAAAACCTATAAGCCTCTCAGAGTCACCTTATAAGGGACATGGGTGGCGTAAAAAAATTAATAAACAGATTATAAAGCACATTGAGTAGTACTTGTTACTACCTGTATTATCACGTTTAAATAAAAACAGTAATATTATTATTATGGCAGGCTTGCTATAGAAATAAGTATGCCTATTTAACAATTTTCCCCAACCTGTTGTTCTCGAAATATATTGGACTATAGCATCCTTCATACCCAGCCAACATTGGGCATGAGTTGTAGTCCAACAGATCTGGCAGATGCTAGATTGGGAAGGCTATCCTTGAAAACTGCACTATTACTGCACTTATGTACATGAATATATATTTCTTTGTTGCATTTATATATCAGTTTTACATGATCTCACAAGACTATAAACAATGAAACACACACATCCTCATTTGTATCTTCACAATGAAATTTTAAGGTAAACCAGTCTGGGGGGGAAAAAAACCCACAGTAATTCAGTAGCTCCACAGCTGAGCTTTGCAATCTAAGGCCACCACTTTGTCTCACAATCACAGTGTTTTTCTGCTTTTCAAAAATAATATAAATGAGAACATAACACAAATTATATAAAGTACATAACAGCTGGTCTTCTCTCTCCTCATTCAAATCTAGGCAGCGCCTCCCCACCCACCCTTAAAGCCAGGATGTGGCTCTGGGCGGATCAGAGCCCCGAAGAGCACAGATCGCCAGTCGTGCACACCAGGGAAGCGCCAGGCTCAAAAGGCGCTTTCCGGGGAGAATCCGGCGCCCCAAAGAACCTCCGGCCAGCCACAGCAGCGGCAGAATCTTACCCAGCGGAGACGGGAGGCGAGTGACCGCCAGTTACCTCTCTGCAGAGCAGCCAATCTCTTTATCGCCGCCAGCAGACAAAGCTGCGCCGTCGCTGCCTCCCGCGCCTTCCTACCTGGGCGCTCGCATCCTTCCTTGCCGAAGCCCCCCCCGCCGTCCCCAGGCAAGCCTAAACCACCCCGGCCTGGAAGGAGAAGGGGTGCGGGAGAGAGACCCGGATAGGCCGAGCACCCTCACACCAACTCACCCCGAAAGGGGCCGTTTTACTCCTCAATGCCTCCCGAGAATTGGGACGGTACAGCCCCTGGTGCTTTCCACCGATTCCCCAGCATTGATGCAAGAGGCATGTTCCACTCAGCGTCCGGAGCCTTTCCCTGTTGGCGCGAAAGAGGAGAGGGAAGCCAGAGGAGCTGAGGCTGGGTTGGGGCTTATATCCTCCATTCTCCCCTCCCGACCGTTGCCCTTTCGTCTCCAGAGGAGTTGTTCGCCTCGGCGTAAACCTCCTCCTTCTCCTCCCACCAACCCCCCGCCAGCCCATCTCTTGTCATTTGCGCGGTCTTCCAGGCGAGCGACACACCGGCTGGTGCTGGTTTGGCGGAGCCTTGGGAGCCCCGCGCATGCTCTCGCGCTCTCGCCCGCCCGGTGACTGAAGTGTCTGGCTTTGGAGGGTTGGACCTGCCTGGCCGGCGGCTACCGCAGTCCGCTAAGCAGGGCTAGCAGGTTGCTTCTCCAGGCAGATTAGCGGCGTGAGCTGCCGTGGGGGTGGAAGGGGGAAGAAACTTGTACTCGGAGCGATCAAGAAACACCTCCTTGATGATGGGGAAGTGGGGAAGTTTGGGAAAGTGGAAGAAACCTCGGGAGGGAAAAATAGACACTCAAACGACCAGCTAATTTGCATTCTGGAATAGCTTTTTCACTTTTAGCCTCTTTCTCACTAGGGACCTGTTGCTTTATTTTCTGAATGGCAAGAGGACCGCGGTGAAACTATGTTGAAACTGTCTGTTGCCAAGTTTTTTCACAATTAAAAAACGAAATATTTTTGACATGCAGTCCCATACAGTATATTGTATTCCTTGATGGACAGACATACATTTATTCAGAAACTATTCAGAAACTAATTGTAGAACTTGCAGGCCTTGGTGCTCTGTGTTGATGTGAGGCTGCTCAGTTGAGTATTGAAATATCTGCAGGCAAACGACCAAACTCGGAGAACACCAAGGACCCACAGCTCAATCCTGAGCTACATATATTCCTTTCTAGTAGAACCTTTCCCATAAACTCCACAGTGAGGTGTTTTTTTTCATGTATTTGCTGCAATAGTGGGACAACCCTGCACCTAATTTCAAAAGCCTTGCACAAATGATCACTTGACAGTTCTGGCATGGGTGAACTGCTCCTCTGCCAACTGGGTAGAGGACAAATGAAAGATGGCTCAATAAGTGTGAAAACACTTCATCTGATTTTGTTCCATGCCCATTTTTGGCTTTGGCCCCACTCTATCCCTGAGAGACAGTCCTCAAAAGACTACCCATGAGATAATTTTTGTTACCATGGAGCCACTGAACAATTTGCCCCTCTCTGTTTTGCAGTAATTTTGTTAAACATTACAATTAAAAGACTAAAAACTAGAAAATGAGAGGAAAAAGAAAAGTTAGAAAAAATTAAAATTAAAATAAGTATAGGAAAGAAAAAGAAGAGATATATAATGAAATTATTTACCCGTATATCACAAGAATCAAATACTTTACTTTCCCTCAAACCAGCGTGGTCCGATAAAAGAAATCTCAGCAGAAGATTCTGAAGCAGAAATATAATTTGAAAAAGCATTTCGGATAGGACTTTCCCTCATTTTCATAAAAAAATGAAGCAGATAAGCATATTCAGACTTGCAAGATTTTGATAGTGAAACTTTATAATAAAAGTAGTATTAGCATTCATAACTTTGGCTTCCTGGTCTGGTCTACAATTACATAAATCAATAGGTCTTTTCTACTTAATGTTTCCATTAATTCTTGGCATATTCTATTAATATTAAACCATTCAAATATTAATATTCTATTATTGTTCTATTAATCTTGGAAAAAAGAGCAAAATCAGTGATTTTATCACAACTTGATTATAAAGTTAAAGGATTTCAAAAACAAGCCTTTAACATAAAGGGACAGCATTCCTTTAGGTCAATGGACACATCTGACATTTTAAAACGTCAAAAGCATTCTTATATGGCAAGAAGGGGCATTCAGAAAAGTTGGATTATACAGTAGGTTTAGGTGTGTTTACCTGAACTACAATTTAATTGATTTACCTAATATGAGAGTTTACATGACATACAGAATATCAACCAATCAGGTGATGGTGGGTTTGCCTAAAATGTAGGCTGAAAGATGGTTATCTTCTCTGTTTTAATGGCACAGTAAACAATCAAAATGTTCAGCAAATGGTGGCCATGATGAACTTGCCATAAAACATTCATTAATAAGAAAAGCAAACACTGGTGGGGTATTTTACCTCATCTTCACTAGTCATGCAGGGTGATTCATTTATCTAGACTAGAGCACCAACAAAGCACTGTCTGGAACCTCTACCATTTTCTAAAAGTGTCTCTAGGATAAAGGAGTGCCCAGGGAGGAAGTTCAAAAATTCAAGATGGCACATGCACAGAGCTACCATATTCATCTTTTTGTGCCAGTTTTACTATCACCGCTCCCTAGTAATTTGAAACCTGTAAGGCCAATGATAATTTTTTGCTGGAAACCAATGGCAAGCATAGCAAATCATAATAAAGCCAGAATTACATGAATGTAATATCATCAAATGAATGCTACAGTTATAACTTATTGCTTGACATCTGAGGAGATAAGTTACAGCCTTTGCCTAATGATATCATCACATCCCTTGTTCCTATTCCCAATGAACATCCATGTTGGAGACTAATTATTTGCAACATGCTGGTTTTGCAATTATTCCTTTTTGATTGTTAAAAAAAATCCTTAAAAAAAATCTTTAAAAGGCCTCATCTCTTGTTCCTGCTTAGCTATTCCTTTCATTCACTGTGTCTTTTATTTAAATGCAGCACACAAAGTACATGGTTCAAGTTGTTTCCTAGCACCTACTAATTTGAGTTCTGTTAACTGAAGATATGGGGATCAATCTGCTGATTATATAAATTCCTTGTGTACTCAAGAGCCAAGTTATAACTGTGCCCTCCTTTATGTTCTGTTGTAGATGAGCATGTTCCTAGGACTGAGTTTGAAGTGGTTCTTTTTGGTGCAAGCAAGTGGTGCAAGCATTTATTGAGCATGGCGGGCAGAACACAAGTGTATACAAGCACACACAGAGACACAGAATAAGTGTCAGCGTTCCAAATACCATGCAGAATTAAATCAGAGTCGAAGGCAAAACTATGCTTAAAGTTCCAATTTAATAAGACAGGCATGTTGGCATCGTGCTATGGGATTCCAACTCTGGAAATTACATCAGAATCCCACCCAGTTAAAAGTTCATGATCTTGTCCCCACACTCACAATCCATCACATGGTCCAATCTTCTTCCTCCATGCTGGCATCCATGCCCAGCTTCTTCTGTTCAGGTGTGAAAGTGTGGAGACAAAGGATGACCTTGGCTTGTAGCAAGGAATGAAAACAATACATTCAAAATCCTACTCCTTTTAATCCCCCCTCCCATTGACTATACTTAAAGAAACAGCATAATGAAAACAATACATTCAAAATCCTACTCCTTTTAATCCCCCCTCCCATTGACTATACTTAAAGAAACAGCATAATGAAATAAGAGAAAGTGTGGCAGGCCAAAATTCTAAAAGGAATATAAATGCAGGCCTGACAATAAGCTTGCTAGCAATAACAATAGCAGATGGACTTCTATACCCCTTCACAGTGCTTTACAGCTCTCTCTAAATGGTTTACAGAGTCAGCGTATTGCCCCAACAATCTGGGTTCTCATTTTACCAACCACAGAAGAATGGATGGCTGAGTCAACCTTGAGCTAGTCATGATCGAACTGCCAGCAATTGGCAGAAATAGCCTGCAATAATGCATTCTAACCACTACGCCACATGGCTCTTAGCAAAAGAGCTTAACCGAGAAAGAGGCATATTTTGCTCACAGGTCCTCCTGATTCAGTCAGGAGAAAGGTGAACAGCTGCTCCAGGGTCAGAAAGACAAAAGTTGAGGACATGATTCAAGCCAAAGAGGCGCAACATCAAGTTTGGAATATTTTCGTATAAAGAACTAGAAGTTGGCAGTTGTTCTAATGTAAGACAGCCAACAGATCACACCCAATTAAGGGCATTGCTATCCTTGCTTTGTGAGGATCCAGTTGAGTGCCTCTCTTTAGCTTTCTACGGTACACAGTACATTCTCAGGCAGGATGCTGCTTGGGACCAGGACCCTGATCATCTGATTTCTGGAACTGATGATAATTGGAGTTAGCTTCAGTTGCTAGGTTATTCCCAATGCTGAGGGTGATGTTCATCCTGAGCAGTTCCTCCACTTCAGAATCCCATAATTTGTAGAAACCACAATACTTTAAGGTGATCTAGATTCTGGGCTCTCATCTTGGCACCAATAGATGCCAGTGGGTTCTTCTTTGTTGGTGTCCTTGTCCATCTGATTTTTGTTTGTTTGTTAACCATCTAGGAGGAGCAGGAGCCAGCAATGTAAAGCACTAATGTGTATATTTGCGGTTACGTCTCTGGGCCTCACAGAGATGTCAAGAGAAATTCTCAGAAAATATAATTAGTAGATAGCTACTGTTCAGGGATTTCTTTGAAAAGTGTCCACCTTACTTAAGAAAAATAAACAAATTTAACATGCTATGTAAACACAATATAAGATCTTGTTCTATAGCTAAGCCATACTTTCACCATGATAGTTTGATTAATTGTAATGACTAGATTCACACATGTTCATTCATTAAAAAGTAAGACTTTGTGTGATATTTTCTCCTGTTATAGTTTATAAATCATGGTTTACTGTATTGTATGATTGCAGGTCACCATGGTTTATTAGAAAAATTATGGCTTAGCATATCTGGTGAACTCAACAGTCTTCTTTGGGAGTGATTGGGTAACTCCCAAAGAAGTAACTTATATACCGCTTCACAGTGCTTTACAGAGAGGGAGAGGGAGAGAGAGAGATCGGGAAAGAGAAAGAGAGAAGAGAAAGAGAAGGGAGAGAGGAAGAGAAGGAGAGAGAGAGAAAAGAGAGAAGAGAAAAGGAGAGAGAGAGAGAAAAAAAGGGGGAGAGGGAAAGAAAGAGAGGGAAAGAGAAAGAAAGAGAGGGAGGACAGAGAAAGATAGAAAGAGAGAGACAGGAAAGAAAGAGAGAAAGATTTCTCAAGCTCCTTGGGGCTGAGAAGAATTGCTGCAAAAGCGAGTTTCCTGAAATGGTCCACTAGACTCCTAAACAACTGAAAAAACAATCTAGTAAAAAGAAAAGGCAACCAAGAGAGAAACATGCAAAGAAAATCATATAAAACATCCCCAGGAGCAAAACAAATTAAAGTTTAATTTGTGTGCATTGTTCAATAGACAGTTAAATTGGCCACATGCCCTAGTCACATGGCCACCTAGCCACACCCACCCAGCCAATCTGCCCCCCAACAG